AAATAAACAAAACAATATATTATGCTTTCCCCTTTTTTTTTAATCCCGAAAACGCGTCACACACCGATTTACTCTTCGCTAGTCGGACCTGACCCCTGCTGTCCCCCGATGAGGAGAAGGCAGCCTTTTTTTTTTTTTTAAGCGAAGTATTTTTTTTTTTGTGCTTTCTTTCATTGTGCAACAAACCACGTATGAAATCATCTTTCGAGGTTACTACTCTTTCAAAGCCCAAAAGGACAAAATTCATTGAAAAATGAGACCATTTCCCTGGTCCTTCAGTTGATTGACACAATTTCCAGCCATAATTCTGCCACACATGCGGCTGTTGATAAACAGATCAGAAATTCATAAGTGCTGCTGGTTACAATGATGTTAGGGGCTACCGGTAGTAGAGGAGGCAAATTTCATGTCCTGCTTCGCACGAGGCTTGTATTGTCCCCTCTTTCCCCATCTACCCCTCAATTTCTTCTCTCCGTCCTGCCATAACACCCCTCCCCCCTCTTTTCCTCCCACACCATTTCCGCAGCCTCGACCTCCCCTCTTGGCCTTCTTTCTATGAGGCTGTGTTGTCCCCGCTTTCCCCTTCTACCCCTCACTTTCTTCTCTCCCTCCTGCCATACCCTCCCCCCCAACCACCCTCCCGGCTTCCCTCCCTCCTTCTCCCCCCCAAACATTCTCACAGCCTCCACCGCCATGGCCTGGTCTCCTTCGGCCTCTACCTTTGCAGCTGACCAAATAATTGTGCGGAGGGTGTTGAGTTGGCCAGGGCAAACTCACAAAAGGACCTTCTAGACTGGATCTGGCCCTTTTTTAATGTCAGACTCATTCACCAAGGTCCTTGAGAGAGTTTCCCCTGAGCCACTGATTAACTTCGGTGAATGTGCTTTTCTTTTGTGTTTCTTTTCTTTTTTTTTACATGTTTCTTTTGCTTCCACATCATGGGCCTTGCTTCGCTACTCACCACATGCAGAAAATACAAAAATATGGCCACCTATCTTTCCATGTTCTACCAGAAGATTCATTCTCGTTTCTCACATTTGTGTGAGTAGTTGAGCCAGGCCCAGTGGGATAGACAAATCAGAGTTTCGGGATTCATACGTCTCCTAGGAAGAGTGGGATGTATTCTCGCGCTACTGCGACTGATATACTCCATTCCCCGAGGAGTGGTGTAATGCGCTTTATGTAATTTTCGATAATTTTATCGCTTGGGCTCTGTGTATTTCGCTGGTCGGATTCGATTTCTATGTTTGCTTTGCCAAACTCTCCGTTCGCATTCCCCTTTCCTTTCCTTCCTTCCGTTCTTCCCTTTCTTGCTCATACTCTCGCTCTCTTTCTCACTATCATTTCAATACCCCTCTACCCCTCTACCTGCCCCACTTCACCATAAGTCGTGTAACTGCTGATACGAAGTGCTTTATTCGTCATAATGAATTGGTTGTATTGGGCTTTGTGGAGCTTGGATTCGATCGTGTTTTGGGTTAGAGTACTTCGAATCTTTCTTGAAATCTCGGTTGGAACCTTTCGTTATGCTGTCTCTCGGTGCAAACGTGAGGATTCCAACCGCAGAGGGCGTTATAACCATCATGATGCACCCCACTAACTTTTTCACTCGTTATTTTTAAGCTTCATGCAATAGCTAACCATCTAGGGAAGTCCTGGTGTGTGTGCACTTAGAGCATAATCACGCTTACGTATCCAGTCACAACTTTTTTTTTTTTTTTTTTTTTTTTTTTTAATCCGTATCCAGTCACAACTACAATTGTATTCAATCTACTTCCGGACCAAATGGGTGGACCCGAATTACAGGTTATGCACGCTGGACCAATCTCAAAACCTGCAATGGCAGCCATGGCTGTCCACGGAAACCCAGAGGGAGTTCCTTCCCCTTGACCACTTGTCTGTCCAGTTTCAACCGACTAATGTTACACTGGTCTCTGACGGCCCCCCCCCTTCCATATCCCTCGTACTCCCCTGTCCGCCACCCACTGTCCCCTCGACGTCCACACCCTTCCCCAATCCCGCCACCCTGTTCCCCTCACTCCCCGTCCTCCGTCCTCTACCAGTCAGGAAAGGGTGTGATGCCCAACCTCACGCCCAGCACGACTTCCTGGTCGGAGTGTGGGTGGGCCTGGAAGTGCGAAAAAGGGGTGTGCCAAGGATTTTTGGAAAGTGGGTGGAGTCTCAGGTCGGAATTGAGATCTCCTGTGGCAAGTTTCAGGGATGCGAATGCAGGAGGAGGATAGGTGCGGATCGAGTCATGTTGTAGGCCAGGGAACGAGGGGCTATCGCCTCTGGTGGTTCCGTCGTCTGGGTCGGACGTGTATCTGGTGAACAGTCGGAACGCTATGGGCTATCTCGCTGATTGACCACTTGTCGACGTCTAACGTCGCAGGTCTCGGAGTCGGATGCAGCCGGTCTCAGCCAAAGGCTGTGTGCCCGTCGTTCCTCCTCCGAGCGGGTTCGCTAGATGAAGCCGGAAGCTAGGTACGCGTGGTCCTGCAGGCACTCCGAGCACAGGGGTTGGGGCCAGTAGGGGGCGACGGCAAGCCAGGGCACGACGGTCAGGGAGTGATAGGGCAGGATGTGGTGATAGGGAGGGAACTCGGTCCCTATGATAATGATCCCGGGTGACACGTGTGGGGGTTAGAGTAGTGGGGGAGATAGGTAATACGTCCCAAGGCATGATCGAGGTCCCACTCGCAGATTCGTCCGTTCCCCGTTAAGTAAGGGAAGTTCGGGGGTTCTGCCCTGGACCGTGTAGTCAAGCGAGATTGTGCCCAATATTCTCGAAATTCCCGATCCCTCAAACATTCATGGTCAGTGACGTAAAACGGATCGTTGAAAGTC